AGCAATAATATCTCGTAATAAACTAGTAATAGACCTTTTTAGTAGTGACGTCACTTGCGCCAATTAATAGGCAACCCCATAGTGCACATTGTCATGAAGAATATCTCAATATATTTACTAGATCGATTTTCGACCTTATGTACTTTGGACATAAGTGCTAAAAAAATGGCTTCTTTGTCATTGCGATATTCTGGCAATATTAGAAATATTTAAGTTTCAAACCCCAAGTGACAAACTAATAGAACTATAGAATTTATATATTTAAATTTATAGAACAATATTGACTTTTATAGTAAGTTAAAATTATATCAATATTACTGAGCATGCGCATTAAAGATAATTTCATGCAAACGAAGTAGCCTCGCAACAGGCGATCATTCAAGAATAGTTTGATATTGGTTAAGAATACGTCTATAATAAACCACTAGAAGAAAAAAATACTCGATAAACACACTGACACAGCACAACGCCAAGAAAAACAATAAACATTCTTAGTAGTACTAGAAGATGCCAAGATTAAACAAAAGAAGAGAAAATACGCTAATGATAACAGCGATGACATAATAAACAAGGCTATTCTTTCCGAATTTTTACTTTATTTAAATTTAGGAACATTCTTTTATATCGTTTTTTGTAAGTTTTAAGCACATTAGTGTGTCTATTTTACAAAACACGTGTTGGTTGTTCTTAAGTACTTCCAAATCCATGTAAAAATAAATTAATTTGAAATTGTTCATTTTTATAGTATCTATGTAAATAGTACACAAGGGTCGAATTCCGTCTGTACAATTTCAACTATGACAATAAATGCCTAAATATGTGACGTCACACTAAAAGAGTCTATTAATAATCTAAAATAAAAATTAGAAATGGTATATCTAAAAATTCCAAAACGCATACCTGACAAATTGAAATTGTTAAATAATGTAATATTTCAAAAGAAATATCTTGTATTCCTGTTGTTTAAATATTCTTGGGTACTCTTGCAATACCATCAATCTCTCTACGAGGTTAGATGCCGTTTGACTACTAGATTTTTGGTATCTAAGAGCATTGTTTGACTTGATTTGGTAGGATTTTTGGAAATATTTTTGAATTTATTTGAAATGAGTCAATAAAATATTTATTTATTTTTAGAAAAGAAATATTTTATAGTAGTGATGGGTAGTTATTCCAATAACGTTATTTTGGAACGTTATTTTATTGGAACGTTCCGTAACGTGACCAACTTCTCTTGTAACGCGTTACTGAGGAACGAACGTGCGACTGCGAAATAGATAGAACATAGAACAAGCAAACAACTAACAAGCATGCAATGCGTTGTTTTAGCGTTGTACGGCTGTAACCGTCAGGTGTCGTATTGTAACGTAACTTTATTTTATAACCACAAAAAGAAACATAAACTGAAATTAAAACGTTTTACATTATGAAAGTATTAGAATGTAGAAAATAATAATGTAATGGCTATGTAGACATTAATTTTATTTATGAAGGTGAAAACTGCAGATTGCTATTTATACTACATATTGTATTAATACAATGAATATTATAAAAATAAACTTTATACTAAAGAAGCAAAAGAAAACAAAAATATGAGTACAAAAAATAGAAGTTCCAAATATTTTGGGAAAAAGAATATCGCCTGTCAACGCATCCAAATAATAAAACTTACATAGTTACTATTGTTACATTACACATCATAGTCCTTTCAAATCAGCCACGATGTCGCAGAATGCACTCGGTGTTAAAACTGTCAAACTTCCAGAAGTAACCTCGTTCCAAAATAACGTTATTTTAGGACTTTATTCTTTTGCAACGTTCCAAGTTATAACGTTATCTATTTTGAGCCGTTATTCCCATCACTATTTTATAGAACTATTAATGGGCTCGTTAGCCATAGGTGGGTTGCCGAATTCTATAATAATTTTACATCTAAGAAACTGGGACAGAACACTTAAAAAAGTTACACTTATTGTAAATGCGAAAGAAATATGTTCAGTTAAATGTAAATAAACAAAGGCCTTGCAAACTAAACCTAGTGCCAAGACTATTTCCATGTACTTCTCCGAATGTAGTGATGCTTAATGATCCCCAAGAATTACATTGTAATAGGATTTAAACTTTTCCCCGTGTGACAGACATTTAGTTTCTGAGATAATATACGGTGAAATCCAGGATAAAACCTAGATATAATGCGATTGATGTAATAAACTACATTATCATAATGTATTATGACACCTTTGTACAAACTTGGAAAGTTTTTGCTTTTTGTTTCTGTTTTTTGAAGAAATATTTATTTCTGTTAATATAAGAGACACTCGAAGTGGTTAATCATAATTTTTTATTGTTTACTAAAAAAAATAGATACTCATTGATTTTAAAACTTAATAGTACCACAATATACTTTCCTACCAACGAAGTGATACAAATTGACAGTTTTCGAATCAAAATTTGCTCGATGTAGAAGAAAAATTTTTTACGAAATCTCGATAGTACGTATGTTGTACTTAACTCGCACATTAATTTTGAACCTATAGTTGTTAAATTTCGGACAACCCATAGACCTTAACCCATAACCCATAAATCCTTAATGCGTACACTAAACTCATAAACTGGAAACCCAGAAACCCTAAACCCATAATCCCTAAATTCCTAATCCCTCATTCCATAAATCCTCAACCTGGTTTGTAATTTAAAAATTAATAATAAATTGTAATCTGGCTTCGTTTGTTGTGACATTTCCTAAAGTGTACGTTTTTTAATTTTATATTGCATTTTGACAAAGATTGAAGATAAACAATATAATTAAATAAGTAAAAAACTAGAAATTTTCATTATCTTATATGGATATTTGAACTAGATTTAAAAAAATAAATATAACTTATGAGAGAAATGTGTGTAATGGGCATATAGATTTAGAGCCTGTATCTGTAATGTTTACTGATTTAGGACATTATATATTTGGTGTATAGGTTTATGGATTTATTGGTTTTGGATTGGAGAGTTTTGAGTTGATAAACATAAAAGATATAAGTTGTGGTTTATGATTAATAGCTATGGTGTATGGAGTAGTGGTAGTGGGTTAGTGATTTGAGGACATATGGGCAAAGATTTGGGGTTCATGGGTTGGAGTTCTATGGGTTTATGGAATTAGGGTTTATGGGTTGTGGATGCAGGATTTATGAGTTATCGGGTTTTGATTTACTGTTTATGGATTTAGGATGTATGGGTCCAAAATTAATGTGCGAAAGTACCATCAAGAAAATTCGGGACTTAAAATATGAATTTACTTCTTCCGTCTTCCTAGCGTTATAAATATTTTACCTATTTCATACGCTCATTTTCTGCAAAAATCTGCAAAAGTACAGTCTCTAAAAAGAATTTAAAAAATTTGTAATTTCATCTACATGCGGGCTGTCGAGCGAATTTTGATGAAAAATGTTGATTTGTATCGCTATGGAATGGAGCAGAATGGGGCAAAATATTAATTAATGGGGTGTAAAACTATATATTTTTTTATTTTTAAATTCTACAGGGTGACACATTAAGAATGGAAACACTGGCGTACAAAAGTTGTTTATGGACTGATTTGAACCGAGTTTTTTTAAAGATAGATCTCCAAAAGCTCTATCTTGATGCAAAATTTGAAGACGAAATTCTGATTTTCAAGACCTACTACGAATTTTATTTTAAGTGAAAAATAGCAAAATTTTGTTAGCGATTTTTTTATAAAAAATCTGACTTCACCACTGGATTGAGGAACCCCTCAAATGCATTTGTACCAATTTTTGCGAAAAAAAGTTTGCCCCTAAAAAGTTATGACAATATCGGCATCACCAGTGTTTGCCGTTGTCGGTGAACCTATTCTTTTATAAAAACTGAATAGAACCCAAAGGAAAACAAAATTAAATAACAAACACTGGTTTAATAATTATTAGTAAGAATCATAAAAACCAGTATCCTCAAAATAAACAACAATTACTCTAATATAAACAACAGTTGATAAAAAATGTAATGATTAAAAAATTACATTTTTAAAAATGAAAAAGGAGTCTGTCAAATTGATTTACACTAATCACGTCATTAAATTTAAATTTAAGTAGCTTCCACTAATCCTCCGTTTAATTCTATACATTTTTCATAACGTTTTTATATATTTTTTACAACATTTCGTAATTGATGCGCGTTAATCTCCTCACACGCTTCTCTTATTCTAGTGGACAATACCTCCCGGTTATTTGGCCGTGTCTTATAAACTTTGGACTTAATAAAGCCCCACAGAAAAAAATCAAGTGGGGTAAGGTCCTGAGATCGGGGTGGCCAATGAATTAATGGACTGTTTCGCAAAAATTGGTACAAATGCATTTGAGGGGTTCTTAAATCCAGTGGTGTAGTCAGATTTTTTATAAAAAAAAATCGCTAACAAAATTTTGCTATTTTTCACTTAAAAAAAATCGTAGTAGGCCTTGAAAATCAAAATTTCGTCTTCAAATTTTGCATCAAGATAGAGCTTTTGGAGATCTTAAAAAAAAAACCGCTTCAAATCGGTCCATAAACAACTTTTGTACGCGAGTGTTTCCATTCTTAATGGGTCACCTTGTATGTCTAAGAGTAAATATATCAAATTCAGGTTAACAGATATTCCAAATAGACTCATTTAATTTTTGTTAACTTCTCGATAGTACCTTAGATTCTTCTATATTAATCCGTTGAAAGAATTATGATAACATTTTTTAAGCGGAATAATTGCAACATTCTAAATCGGTATATTCAGTTCAGTTCAGAATATATTTTCAGAAGCTACTTTACTAATTTCTACTCCAAATTAACTTTAGATAGAGAGGCAGTAATTTTAAGACAAAAGTAAATTATAAGCTGCTATCTTTGAATTTTATATTGCGAAATACAATTGTATTAGTGGTGGCCTTGATGAATTTTCATGTTCGGTTCATTAGGGTTTCGAAACTCAGACGAAATTTAATTAAATATGTAAATTGCAGGAGGCTTTAGAAGTATTAAGAACCGCACCTAATCAAGTCGACCTGAAAGTCTGCCGGCCGCCTCCGGATGTTCTAAACTGTGTAAGTCCTATATCTGAAGTTCCTCCTCCACCACCGCGCAGAGAACCGCCATGCACTCTTAACCTGTCTTCAGTGATTTACACCACTCCCGAAGATGATTACTATCACGGGGTAAGTAAGGGGTGACATAAGAGAATATTTATTCTAACTGGTTTGCTTCATCAAAGATAATTTTAATACGTTTTATGCTAGGGCCCATAGGCGTCGAATCCCCGAGGTCCGGGGTCCACTGGGTGTGCGATTGCCCATAACTAATTTGCTGGGTGCTAAGCACCCACAATTTAACTTTTAGGCGTTTCAAACTAAGTCTTTATTTATAAGTGTAAGGTATACCTATAATATGAAGATTGTTTGCTTATGTTTTAAATAGAATACTTTTAATTATACAGAGTGTTCGGAAACTATAAGCAAAAAGGTTAGAGAGTGATTCTATACATAAAAATAATGACTGCTTACATAACCTCAAAGTTATTTCTTTTTAACACAATAATGGGCCATAACTTTTTTCAGTTAAGTATTTTCTTCATTTTTTGTTTAATTTTGTACACTTGTTACTGTAACAGACTATACTTACAAAAATAAAAGGAAGATTCCTAAAATTTAAAAGGTTTTAAGGAGCCTTGTCAACTAAAAACATGATAATATTAATTTTTTATTATTTTTTTTTAAATCCAACAACTTCTATGTGTTAGGAATGTTGCAAAATTGTACTTTTGTTCCAAAATATTAACCGTCTGAGACAAAAATTGCCTTGAATGTATTGTGATGGATCTTAAAAGCATTTAAAAGATATCTATTGTACAGCATAAACCAAACAGAATTTTAATCAAAAAGTAAATGATCTTTTATACTACTAAAACTTGAAAATATTTTTTATTACATTGATCGACTTTTAAAAATTTTAAAAATTAAATATGGGTATCGTAAAATACGGGAATTTGAAATAAGTTTAATGGAAAATATTACCGCAAAATATTACATAAATGCCTTTATTTTTAAAATCGCAGATAGTGATAATGTAATGTAAGATACGGTAATTACCCTTAATATAAACATTTTTATTTTTTGAAAAGCCGTATATAAAAAAATTATCAAATTTCTAATCACTTTTTCGTAGGTAAACTAGTAAAAGTTTGAAAACAATCCCAATGGTAATTAAATAATTTTACCTGCAAAACTACAAGATTACTATTTCCATATCAAGATCGTTAGTATACAATAAAATGTTATTGTATATACACGGTAATTCAGTCAAAATGTCATTAATTTTAACCACATATTCGAATGTCCTAATAAAGATAGAAAGTGCATCGTCAAAGTGCTATGGATGAGTGTTGTTTTAGCCGTTCTGGCATTTTAAATAGGTACAATACAATTCTCTGAAAGCAATAGGTCGCACAATAATATGTACTACAATCTGAATAATTAATTGAATATCATCGTACTAAAAACTCATACGTATTCGAAAACAATTATTATCCTTATACATTTGTTTTTATTAACAAGTACTTGTTAATATTTAAAATGTAAAAAATTGTCTTATTATTAAAAGTACTTGTTAATATTTAAAACTGTAAAAAATTGTCTTATTCATTCGTGTGTCTAGCTAAAAAGCTCTGTTTATTTGTTAAAAATGCATTAAAAACTAATTTAATGACCGAATGTTACGGTAGGTCAAGATTCACTCTCGATAAACCTTTGTAGGTCAGCGGTGCGAAAAGAGGTTTAATAATGATTTATTAATATTTTTTTAGTGGAAATATGCATTTTAAAATTTTTTAATTTCGTATTCTACTTATTTTTAGCTATCTTCCGTTAAAATTTATGGTATTATGACTGGATCATCTTGTATACTTTTGAAAACAAAGTTTTTCGCTATCCCCACATAGCACTTTACACATTCTTTAGTGTTACACTGTATTTGTGTGCTAGGGGAAAATGAATATTATTAAATTAAAAAATTATACCGTTCTTGTAATTCGTAATTCCAGAGAAATTTTCTTCTGCGTTGTACGCGGGGGCGCAAATGGCTCCATCTGTCGTGCGGACTCCCAACTGTGCCATTCAAATGGCTACAGTAGGAAGCGACCTGCTAACTGCAGGTACTTTGTTGGATGACTACCACCCACAGAGGGCGTAACACAATGTTTGAATTGTCAGTGCTGCGAGAAACAACTACTCTGAGAGCTATTTGCCCCTACCGGCATTGAATTATACTCGCAACACCTAGTTGCGCTCCCGCGTAGAATGTATTTCCTTTTCGTGATGATACGACGAAGAACAGCTGGGTCGTTTGTCGGTTGTCGCACCTATGACACACTGATAAAGACTAATAAGTCCGAAACCGGTCTGTGCCTGGTGGGTTAAAAAACTGAACAAACGATCCTAGCTGTTGCACTAGGTGTTGCGAGTATAATTTAATGCCGGTAAGGGCAAATAGCTCTCGGAATAGTTGTTTCTCGCAGCACTGACAATTCAAACATTTTCTTCTGCGTGTTATCTAGTTTCAGTGTTTGTTAAAAGTTCAATTTTACTGTCATTTTATTTTATAAAAACAGTTATAAGTCGATTATGAGCAACGCTCATATTGAGCAACATTTTAAAATATAACCGAAGATCAAATCTGTATCCATCATTGCGAACCTAATGTAACTGTCTTACGTGTTCTGTATTAATTTATTACCATTTGAAATAATTGTAACTATTTTTTAAACGCATAACTTAACTCTATTTCTATTTGTAAGTTAGCGCCCAATACGACCTTATAGGCTGGTCAAAATCGACAATAAAAATCGCTAAATTCGCAAAACATGATGTATCTCTGATTTTTTAGTATGTTGTTTGGACCCATTAGGGCTATGTATACACAAATTTGCAACTCTCAAAAAGTCGTTGACAAATTTTTACACACCAAAAACCACGAAATTTTTGGACTTGTTGTTTGGATTCTGCTCTATATCTCCTAATCCATGCATTTTTCGTCGAAAGCTACTATATACGTTTTTTAAGAGCATCAAATTTGTGACAAATTAAGCCTAACCGGAGCTCTGTAGGCGAATTGGTTACCGAATTACGGCATTTTAAAAATAGGCCAGTCATTACCAAACCAAAAAACAAAACAGAGGAAAGGTTATGGAACATTTCTGAAAAAATGTGATTTTACCCTATATGGGTTTTTTTGCAATTTTGAGAGAACTGCGAGGCTTACAGACCTCGCTCTACGCTTAATTTAAAGGTAATGAAATTACCTACAAATTATATTCTACAAGTTCTACTCGTAGGATCAATGGTTTCGACGCAATTTCGGTCCAAAGAAGGTCTAAAACCAAAATTTTCAATGTTTGGGAAAACTGACCTATTTTCAAAGTGCCGCAATTCGGTAACCAATTGACTTACAGATTTCCGGTTAGGCTTAGTTTGTCACAAATTTGATGTTCTTAAAAAGACGCATAGAATAGTTTTCGACGAAAAATGCATGGATTAGGAGATATAGAGCAGAATCCAAACAACAAGTCCAAAAATTTCGCGGTTTTTGGTGTGTAAAAATTTTTCCACAACTTTTTGAGAGTTGCAAACTTGGGTATACATAGCCCTAATGGGCCCAAACAACATATTAAAAAATCACAGAAACATCATGTTTTGCGAATTTATTGTCGATTTTGACCGGGCTATTAGCTTTAATATAAAATTGTAGATTGCTTCCAATATACCCAATAAATTTATAGTGAGGAATTTCACTAAAGAACAATATTTTTTACTTGGTAGAAATTCGAATTACGCATGCAAAATCAGTGAACTGTATTATTTTCTTTTAGGAATTTGAGGTTACGCTTAAGAAAATCCACGGATCTCTAGGATTTACACTCCGCAAAGAAGATGACAGCGCATTGGGTCATTATGTTCGCGCTTTAGTTAGAGAACCTGCTCTAACAGATGGCAGAATTAAAGCTGGTGACAAAATCATAGCGGTAAGTAAACGAATTACGCTGTACACAATAAATTGCAGTAGTTTTGATTGTCTTTTTTTTTTCAGGTAAATGATGTAGAAATATCTCCTATGTCCCATGAACAAGCAGTTCAGTTCTTGAGACAGTGTTCAGAAGTTGTTAGGTTACGCTTATATAGAGATTCAGCTCAAACTCCCGTGGCTGCACTATCACCATCCGAAACCACTCCAAGAACCTCATTTTCTCGAAAAGCACACTTAAGGTATCTAGTGGTCCCCTTTTATTATAATTATTACACAGGTCAACATTTGATCTAAGAATAATCACCGGACCTGACCAGGGTACTTATAGGTTTTTTGGATCGCTGGTTCCGAATCCGAGGTTGGCTAAGCTCCATCACGTCAGGTTCAAGGTCATTTGAAGGTCAAATGGCAAAAAATCGTCCAAAAAATCTGAAAAAATTCATACGTATATTTTTGAGCTAGCTGAGTTCAAAGCCGCTGTTATTTTCACCATTTAAGTACATCTAAATGTCGTATCAAGGTCATGTCGAGGTCATTTTTAGGTCAAATCGAGAAAATCGGTCTAAAAAATCTGAAAAAATGTATACGTATGTATACGACTCCTGACCGAATGAGGCGAAAACATAAAGGAGGCTAGTCAGTTAAGGCAATTTTCCGGTCAGTTAGGTAGAAATATAAGCGTGTCCAGCCAATTAAGGCAAGACGAGTGAATGTCCTAGCCAGTTAAGGCATGAACAAGAGTCTGTCCTGCCAGTTAAGGCAAGACGAGTGAATGTTCCGACCAGTTAAGGCAGGAAAAAGAGTGTGTCCAGCCACTTAAGGCAAGACGAGTGAATGTCCCGGCCAGTTAAGGCAAGAACATAAGCGCGTCCAGACAATTAAGTCGAGATGACTGAATGTCCCGGCCAGTTAAGGCAAGAACAGTAACGTGTCCAGCCATTAAGGTGAGACCCCATTTACACCTTACTGCTTTTAAAATTGTTTTCAATAAATGAATCTCCTTGTTTAGCATACAAATTAATCGTCAGCTTTGAATCCTTTACGTTTAGTTTCAAACGATCTTCTAATTGATTTTCTTTTATGTTCTACGTTTGTCTCTTTTTAAACACCAGCAATAGTCGGCCAACATATTCTTTCCCCAAACACCCTGATATCCCGTATAAATTTTCTCAGATTTTTTAGACCATATTTCTCGATTTGACCTCCAAATCACCTTGATATGACTTTTAGATGTCTTTGAATGGTAAAAATAGCAGCGGCTTTGAACTTGACTACCCCAAAAACATACATATGAATTTTTTCAGATTTTTTAGACCATTTTTTGGCCATTTGACCTTCAAATGACCTTGAACCTGACGTGATGGAGCTTAGCCAACCTCGGATTCGGAATCAGCGATCCAAAAAACCTATAAGTACCCTGGTCGGACCTGGTGATTATTCTTAGATTAAATGTTGACCTGTGTTATTTAAGAAATGTATTAATGTATAAATATATTGTCGTTATCCTTTCAGGCAAGAAGCAGTCGATATGTTAAACGATATCGCCGTTCGTAAGCTCATTCCAGGTAATCAGGATATCTATCGTCGTTCCTTGTCTCCAAATGCATCACCCAGAAGACTGCGTCGTCAAAACTGTCCTTCTGACGCTTCGCGAGTGACAGATTCGTCCGTAAAATACTTGATAAACGACGAACAATTCCATGAAGGCTTGCTGCAAACGTGCTCTCATCCCTTCGACGACGATGCCTTCAATTCACTCTTCTCCATAGAGTCAGACGACGGAGATAAGCCAAACCGCCCTAGCTCATTAGACTTGTATAATCCAAATCAAACTCCTGTTGCTACTAGAAAGCCTAGATTTAACTTTTCGCTAGCCCATAACGCATATGAGTTAAATAACTTAGATCCAGAAGTACTGGATGCGCCTAATTTGACTTATAATCTAGGTAATGATGACGTGAAAAGTACTGATGTAGAAGTTGGAGACAGTTTTCTCCAAGAACCTGCAAGTATGCCACATATCCCCATTGATAATCCAACATTTAGTTATAAGAACCCTGCCTATCAGTCAGCTCATCCTCAAATAGGCTCTGATACAGTAGATTTTGCTGCTGCCACAACTACAAAGGCGAATGGAAAATTTGATGACACTAATATGAAAAAGTGGAAAAATGTAGCATTGCAGGACGAGACAGAACCTAAATCTGAAATTAACGCCCATCAAATGCCCATGAAGGAAGAATACGAGGTAAACTCATCAGTTTTATATTTTACGAATGTTGTATCAAAAACCTTTTTTATGTTTTTTAGGTCCTTGCCATAGAATTAAATAGGGGTTGGAATAGTAGACTAGGATTTAGTTTACAAGGTGCCGCAGGAGTAACTTATGTTAGTGCTGTTCACGCTGATAGTGTAGCTGCAAAAGATGGCAGGCTAAAGCCTGGAGACCGCGTTATTAAGGTAAATATATTTTACATATAAATTTATTAACCACATACAGTTTTACATTTTAACATAATTTGCTGTCAAACTACTAAATGACTTGTTATGACTTGAAATGCTGTTTAGACTAGGCGGATCTGTTTTGGTTTGAGTGAATTGTATATCCACGGAGATTTTTTGCATTTTGGCTTTCAAATATCACTAGAAATGAAAATTTTTCTATGCGCATAAAAAAAACGTGGGCTTAACTTTTGGCGACACAATATGTTAAAATTCGAAAAATGTCAAATTTTTCTTCCTATTTATGTATCTTTTCAAGAGTTGATTTTAGGCGAAAATGGAAGAGGAAAAAAATGTTTGTAATTCAATTTTTTACAAAACATGACTAGTTACAAATCGAATGAATCATGATTATTATGGTAAAAATCGAAAAAATCGTAAAAATAGGGTTAAAAAACAATACTTTTTAGGGAATTTTTTTGGGGTATTTAAATTGGGTATAGGACCTTTATACTTGGCTCAAGAAAACTTCATGTTATGTAGAATCATCACACCAAATTTCATCAAAATCGGTTCGATAGATTTTGCATAATAATTTTGCAATCCTGATTTTGAAAAAAAATTTGAAAATTTTCAAAATTTTGCACAGCAAAAACCAAGGCCCTTAGATACTTGAAAATTTAATCACGTATAGAAGGGCTCTCAAGCTTTCAAACTTTTTTTGAAAATTTCGAATCTGTCAATTAAGAGAGCTCTGGCGCTTGTTTAAACATTGGTCGAATTTTTATACTTATAAACAATTGGAATAACTTAGTGAATATTCAATCAAATAATAAAATCAATTTTTTTAAAACAGGTTTTAAAAGTTCTTGGAAAGACGTTTCTTAAAAAAAAAACAGATCGATTGATCAATTAGTTACGTAGTTATAGCCGATCAAACCGTCATTTACATTAAATGTACTGGGACATCCGGACTAATTTTTCGAAAAATACCTTTGGTATTCCGAGTACTTACCAGCTCTAAGATTACAATACTTTCTTCATTGGCAACCTACTTTAAAACGTGTTTAAAGTTATTTATGCAAGCAAGAAAATCATACGGGTGGTGTTGGTGGGGGAAGCAGAGAGCGCGGCCGCTTCGGCCTGCTCGAAATCGAATCGGCGAGTTCAAAACCGCGATGCGCTTAAAAATTAAATTTTTAATATCATCTTCTAGGGGTCCGATTTTAATGATTTTTTTTTAATTATGACGTATTTTCAAATGCCTATCGTTAATAATTATTGGTCTTTCAACAGTCCGATAATTATTTATCTTTAAACTTCCTTTACTTATCAACTTTATTTTTCCATTGTATCAAAGGTAAGTGCATAAACTTATATACTGTTTATCAAAGANTTTGTTTAGGTGAAAAGCTGAGGCATATTCTAGCTGACGTACACACAGTCGCGATTTAGAGATGGTAATATTATTCTGATTAAAGTTGATTTAAGTAAAAATATTTGATTTTCATTTGAATTGGCCAATCAGCACAATATTCGATATTCGTCGTAAATTGTAAATTAGCGATTACATATACCATGCAAATTCATTTAGAATTAAGAATTCCATTTTTATTATCAGGTCAAATTGTAAGAGTCTCGGTCAAAATTGAAAATGGCTGTGAATACGAGTTACTTTCGGTCAAAATTGAAAATGGCTGTGCACACGAGTTATTTTTGGTCACTGGAATAAAGTTTCCATCATAAAAATCCCGGCAGATGGTTTGTCTGTCTGTTTTTTGGTCACTTTCACTCCTTTTTTTAGCATTTCAGACACGTGTGTAGGTATATGGATTGTTGCAATGATTCTCAAATGACAAAATTCGATTTTTTCTTATTTTGGCACTCTGTAGACTGAAAAAAAGTTATATAATGAGTTAATTTCTCATTTGCTTATATTTTAAACAATAAATAATATTTGAATTATACTTTAATCACAAAAAAAAAATATTAAAAAAAAGAATCTTTCTTTCATTTCAATATATGATTTCGTATAGAGATTTTCAATGGGGTAGAAAATAATAAAAAATAATAAATAATACATCTCATAACGCAAAAGCTGAAATTTGGTAATAAAAAAGCTAACTTAATAAGTTAAATGAAAAAAGTGCTTAGCTTTTTATTTAGTGAGGGAAAAGTGCTCAGCTAATAAGTTAAAGATGCAATGCGCCCGCACGCATAGTGATGTGCTGCACCTTCAACTCGTCAGCTGAGCAAAAACTTCAGCGGACAGTTTTTTTCCTATAACTGGTTAAGTTGTCTATTACTTTACTAAATTTCAGCTTTTTCGGTATCAGTTTACCTAGCGCACATATTTGATTTGTTTAGGTGAAAAGCTGAGGCATATTCTAGCTGACGTACACACAGTCGCGATTTAGAGATGGTAATATTATTCTGATTAAAGTTGATTTAAGTAAAAATATTTGATTTTCATTTGAATTGGCCAATCAGCACAATATTCGATATTCGTCGTAAATTGTAAATTAGCGATTACATATACCATGCAAATTCATTTAGAATTAAGAATTCCATTTTTATTATCAGGTCAAATTGTAAGAGTCTCGGTCAAAATTGAAAATGGCTGTGAATACGAGTTACTTTCGGTCAAAATTGAAAATGGCTGTGCACACGAGTTATTTTTGGTCACTGGAATAAAGTTTCCATCATAAAAATCCCGGCAGATGGTTTGTCTGTCTGTTTTTTGGTCACTTTCACTCCTTTTTTTAGCATTTCAGGTATATGGATTGTTGCAATGATTCTCAAATGGCAAAATTCGATTTTTTCTTATTTTGGCACTCTGTAGACTGAAAAAAAGTTATATTTTATTAAGATATATTTGATTAAATCGTCCCTAGGAATTTCCCTTTAAGTTGTGTCCCATTATTAAAGAAACGTCATGTATATTATGAATATTTAACTTCATCGGAATATTTGCATGATGACACAAGCTGATTTAGTGTGGTTCAGCTTTAAAATACAAATATGCTAGAGCCGCAACTTCACACGTCAAACGACGCTTCATGCGACGACGAAAATAGAAAAATATACCTACTAGAGTCTCAAAATTGTAGGCAGTGACTCATTCTCAACATATAGATCCGTGCGACGAGAAAGGAGCGAGAAGATTGCGATTCCATAGGTGCATCATTTTAGAGAAACTATTAAATAGGTATAGAACAACAAATATAGTAGGATCGTATTCGATGCAAGGTATAGCAAAAAGTTGTCGGTTTTTTATCAAAAGAAAATGGTGTCATCATTTTTAGGAGGCGTAAGATGAACCATTTCAAATTTAAAATGAAATTGAATGTTAAATCTGAAATACCGCTGCATACGCACTGTGTTCTGGTAGTAGCTGTAGTCGTCCATGTGCATCGAGTGTACGAAGTGGTCGGTTATACGTCAAATACTAACCTGGCGAGCTTGACCGTAAATCAGAGAGCGCCTCCAAAAAACAAGTAAACAACAGTGGCGCGTACAGAGGTAAAATGTATATTCCATATGTGGAATTTAAAAAACAAATTGGATTTATAATAAATTACATTTAAAATAAATAGTTTATGGGAATAAAGGAATTTTTGTAGGAATAAGGGTGCCAGACGTGATCCCTTTAATTAATAATTTCTTACCTTCTAAAAATGCATCTTGTTTGCTGCTGATATTTTAATCTCGGCAAACCTTGGCGACCATAATGCTCTTTATTTATACATGTTTCGTTGAAATATTGAATTTTCGTTTTCTGTTATAAATATTTTTTGCACATACCTACTACAATTCTACAATATGCTACAATATTTTCTATTAGCATACTTTCCGATTTCGTTTTAGTAACGAAAGTTCATTTCATGCATTTTACGCAGTAAAACTCTTTCTGACAATCTAGGGCAATATTCGTCTTCTGCGATTACAGCTTGAATTTTTGTTAATGTTGAAACTTCATTCTAATAAAAATAAAATCCGTGAATTTTCATTCGGACTGCATATTAAATGTCATTGTCAATTTAATTTTTTTTCTGCGATAAATAATTCTGATAGGCACTTTTGTTAAAAAACTGCACATTTCCATGGCATCATTCATCAGCATATCCGCGTTTTGCGCTTGAATTCCCTGATAAACGTGTATCATACAATGTTAAATTCGCTTATTTACGACTACCATGAACATTAACAGATTTGCATCTAACACTCGCACATGATTCTGTTTTTATAAACACAGTGGTATTACTAAAATAAGAAAATAATAACACGCTTTTCCTACTTGCACACGTATGACACGAAAAGAAACTCCTAAGTTGGAAGCTGACAAATCGGGAAATAAAACTATTCGCTCTAGTTGTCTCTTTCTCTGTACATGATAGCATAGGTCGAAACGGGACCGAATAAAGCGTTCCAAGTATGTACGCGCAGGCTGAGCATATTATCGGTACATTATGTGAAATAAACGACACATTACAATTTCAATTCAAGAAATACATGAATATCTTGTATTAATTGGACTACTCAACCATATCCACATCACTTCTAAGAAAATGTTGCGATCATGCGATGGGTTGCAGCCCCGTCATGTAAATACCACATTTCCCAATATAGGTACGTGGTAAATCATTTTCTAAAAAGTTCAAATATTGTTGGACGTTCAGACGTTGTGGCAGCACAAAGGTCCTGTTAAAAAATTATCGGCAATACTCCAGAACAATAATACGTTTATTCTTTCATTCTGATTGAACTGAATTTAGTAACATAGTGTTTTTTGGTGTTATTTTTTTTTTTTTTTTTTTTTACTTTGTTTTCCCCCTCTCCCTCTCAAAGTTTTCTTGATGTGTGTTTTCCTTTTTTTTCTTATATATATTTTTTTTTCTCTTTTTTGTCTCATCTGTTTGCTATAACCTAACTTTTTAAAATTGACATTTTAGTTTTATTGTTTTTGCGGGTCACAATGATAAATATATGGAAAATAAGTACATGATTTTATTATTGCAATAAAAATGGAAGATGTAGATGTCAAAAAATGGCGGGAGGGAGGGAAAATCTGTTCTTCCGTGTTTCTGAAGTGAATAAGAAAGTCATTTTCAGTTTAATCACATTCTGTTTATTCAGTTCAGTACATTAACTTTGCTTAGAACGAAAGAATACATATAGAAGCGATATTGAATTAGTACGGTGCGGCATCACAACGGTGTTGTTTTTCACCAAGAACTGTTGGATAAGCAAAGTGGTATGGTTTCGTGCGTAGTCGTAGTGCAAAATCCACGAATTGTCTCTCGTGTTCTTGTCGTTTTCTTCTGATTGCCTCATGGAAATTGCGCAAAACTTATAGGTTTGTATTGGTAATCTTAGATAATAATATACGATCATTAATTAAAAAATATACAATTGCTGTTTACGAATCCATATTCGCAGGCTCGCTCGCTCATGGATCGGCGCGTGGTGAAACGGTGAATTTCACGAGTTTTCGGTCGCGCATCATATGGGGGGGAAAAGTCGCCGGGATGAAAATATATAACATGAAAATATAACTTTCGGTGAAGCCTCGAACAAGAAAAATTAAAAAAGCTTCAGTACAGTCCGAGAAAACATACATTGAAAATGGCGACTTTTGGTTATTTTTCGACCTTAAATCGCTCGTAGCTCGAAAACAAACCTTTTTTCGAAAAAATCACAAGCGTTAAAAAGTACTTATTTGTGCCAAAAATACATAACCAATGTGTTTTTATATCGATTTTTTAAGTTTTCGCAATTTTTTTGTTAATAACAAATTACTAACCATCGCTATATAGAAAAATCTCATTAAGGTTTTTTGTTCGCAACAACGTAATATAGCGATTAGAAAAAATTTCATCCTGACCCCCCTCCATAGTCGGTTCACTCGTTTTTTTTTAGGGGTGTACCGCTCGCCTATGTAGGTAGTATTCCTTGTTAACTGTACGACCCGGCAGTAAAAATTCGCGATGAATTGAATGAAGAAAACGGTTAGAAAAACCTTCACATTTGACCAGATCTCGATCCATTTTCGACGTCTTCTTGGCCTTCCTGAAAACATTTACACCATTGATCATGGTTGTGACATAGTATCGTCGCCAAAGGCTTTCTTTCACATTTTGAACACTTTGTTGCACTTAATTTCGTTTTTAACAAAATATTAGACAAACTCCCTGATTCGACATTTCGGCACCCAAAAAGTCGCCAAAAACCAAAAACACTGAGGTAAATCTTGCTCATTCGCACGCTAAATACCAACTAAGCGTGGCAACACTGGCAACTGCCTAAAAATTGACAGGTACATCACTGGTGACAGTGCTACCAATACGCAAATTCGGAAATTTCCGTTACTTTTTTATTAAACCTCGTATATATGAACGTATAATCTCGAACATAGTAAAATTTCTTCACTTAAATTAATAAATTTTGACCAAAGAACAATTTACTTAATTCAAGGTTATGATAATTATGTTAATATAAATATATCAAATATCTACAACTGTTTTTAAAGGAACTGACTCCTCTTCAATTTTCGTTTGCACAATTTAAAACTGATGTATTTCTTGTAGTCCAGATGGTATCTGTTTCAAAAAGCCATATTTGGGTGAATCGTATATCCACGGAGATTTTTCGCTTTTTGGCTTTCAAATATCACTAGAAATGAAAATTTTTCTATGCGCATAAAAAAAAACGTGGGCTTAACTTTTGGCGGCACAATATGTTAAAAAAATTGGAAAAATGTCATATTTTTCTTCCTATTTAATTATGTATCTTTTTAAGAGTTGATTTTAGGCGAAAATGGAAGAGGAAAAAAATGTTTGTAATTAAATTTTTTACAATACATGACTGGTTACAAATCGAATGAATCATGATTATTATGGTAAAAATCGAAAAAATCACAAAAATGGGGTTAAAAAACAATACTTTTTAGGGAATTTTTTTGGTGTATTTAAATTGGGTGTAGGACCTTTATACTTGGCTCAAGAAAACTTCATGTTATGTAGAATCATCACACCAAATTTCATCAAAATCGGTTCGATAGATTTTGCATAATAATTTTGCAATCCAGATTTTGAAAAAAAAAATGCAAATTTTCAAATTTTTGCACAGCAAAAACCAAGGCCCTTAGATACTTGAAAATTTAACCACATATAGAAGGGCTCTCAGGCTTTCAAACTTTTTTTGAAAAATTCGAATCCGTCAATTAGGAGAGCTCTGGCGCTTAATTAAACATTGGTCGAATTTTTGTACTTATTAAGCAGAGAGCGCGGCATCGGCCTGCTCGAAATTGAATCGGCGAATTCAACCGCGATGCGCTTAAAAATTTTTAATATCTCACCTTCTAGAGGTTGATTAAACATTGGTCGAATTTTTGAACGTCGAACACTGGAAAAAATTATTTGTAAATTATTTTTAATCATGTTATTTCCTACAACTTTGCATTTGGAAGTACTAGTCTATTACTTCAAATAAAAAAGTTGGCCTGTCAGGTTTTAAAAAAATAACACTATATATACAGGTTGTAGAGATTCTTTTCCTAACGGTATATACGTGTATCTATTTTTTCAAGGTCGCATTTTTCGAAAACGGAATAATATATTGAAATGAAAGAAAGATTCTTGTTTTAATATTAATTTTTTTTGTGATTAAAGAATAATTCAAATATTATTTATTATTTAAAATATAAGCAAATGAGAAATTAACTCATTATATTACTAATTTTCGTCATATTTTGAAAATAATTGTTGTTTAAACCATTTCAGAATATTTAAATAAATTTGTTTTTGATCTTTGATAAACTGTCTATAAGTTTATGCACTTACTTTTGATACAATAGAAAAATAAAGTTTATAAATAAAGGAAGTTTAAAGATAAATAATTATCGGACTGTTGAATGACCAATAATTATTAACGATAGACATTTGAAAATACGCTAAAATTTAAAAAATCATCAAAATCGGACCTCTAGAAGCTGAGATATTAAAAATTTTTTAAGCGCATCGCGGTTTTGAACTCGTCGATTCAATTTCGAGCAGGCCGATGCGGCCGCGCTCTCTGCTTAATAAGTACAAAAATTCGACCAATGTTTAATCAAGCGCCAGAGCTCTCCTAATTGACGGATTCGAATTTTTCAAAAAAAGTTTGAAAGCGTGAGAGCCCTTCTATATGTGGTTAAATTTTCAAGTATCTAAGGGCCTTGGTCTATAGAACCGATTTTGATGAAATTTGGTGTGATTATTCTACATAATATGAAGTTTTCTTGAGCCAAGTATAAAGGTCCTATACCCAATTTAAATACCCCAAAAAAATTCCCTAAAAAGTATTGTCTTTTAACTCCATTTTTGCGATTTTTTCGATTTTTGCCGTAATAATCATGATTCATTCGATTTGTAACTAGTCATGTTTTGTAAAAAATTTAATTACAAACATTTTTTTCCTCTTCCATTTTCGCCAAAAGATATATAATCAAATAGGAAGAAAAATATGCCATTTTCGAATTTTTTTAACATATTGTGCCGCCAAAAGTTAAGCCGACGTTTTTTTTATGCGCATAGAAAAATTTTCATTTCTAGTGATATTTGAAAGCCAAAAAGCCAAAAATCTCCGTGGATATACGATTCACCCAAACCAAAACAGATACCGCCTGGTCTATTGTGTGAGGTTGAGCAGAGAGGTTTCACTAGAGGACTGACCCTTTAAAATTCTGTTTTAGTTATTATTAAATATTTTCTTTATATTTTTTTTTGCTCATTGATTTATTGTTTCAAGTTGTCAACTTTTAGCCAAAATTTATTGCTCTGTCAAAGGCATAGTATGTAACTTAACTAGTTTTTCCCATTTTAATTGTTTGTACTGAACAAAAGATATATTTTGGCATTTTTCAGTACAGAGAAGAACTCTGTTTTCTTACAAATAACACGTGAAAATAAGAGAACTATTTTGAATGTTATTTCACCCTTAATCATGTTATTTAGTTGGGTGTTTTCAATTGAACTCTAATAAAAATATAATGTAAATGTTTACGGAAACAGTTTTTAAAATAATATTTTTCAGAAACAGTTTAAAAGTTTCTTATAAAACAAATGATGTCACTCAAAACAAAAAGAATTAAACCAACGACATGGTCATCAGCTACTGTTTCGTTATTGTATTTTATATTTCAGTTTGACGATTGTTACCTATCATGTTTATGAGGTTAGTATCAATGTAGAAAATTTTTAAAATGTATTTCTTTGCAGGTGAACGATGAAAGTGTAGAACATATGACCACTGGAGAAATAATAGATCTTCTTCGAATAGTAAGGGGTCCAGTGTGTATAGTTGTGTCAAGAGTCAAATCTAATGAAGACTGTCCAAAAAGCAATGCGGAGAATTGAGAAACTGTAGTACAAGATTATATTCTAAGAGCATCTATCAAATATTCTAATGCTAAATAAATTTATTTTTTGTTAAATCCATAATTTAAATGTTTTTTTATGTTTTTTTATCCATATTTTAAGCTATAAAATGTTGTGATAGTTTTGTAATTATAATTTAAAACTTTCCTTCTACCAATGTGATTAAAATTGTAATTATGTATTTTTTTGTGATTTTACTCTGGTTTTTAAATTGTACTCTATTTTTTTTGTTTAGAATATTAAGCTAGTCTGTATTATAATATATTATGGTACATAAAATACTACGGACTTGTTGTATAAGTCCTGCTATAGATAAGTACCTATATTGTAGCATAAAAATATTAGAATGAATGTTTAAAGTAGATTCAATATGCAGTATTCTAATACAATTAAAGTTAAACATGATATTCAAAAATTACATTCTAAATTTTTGCCTGAATAGGAAATGTGTTATTTTTTGTAAGATGATGTATATCAAAGTATAATAAATCTATTAAATTTAGCAATATTTAATTAAATAAAATAGGATATACTGAATGTTCAGTTAAAATAATTTTGAAAATGTAATTCAAAATTTTAACTTTGTTATACTTTGTAGATTTTCTGATGTTTCAAATATTTTGTTTTGATTTAAGACCAAAGACAAGATAAAAATAAATATCGTTGAATTCAGTGCTTATATTTTTTTAGATGCCCCACTGAAACTTAGTTGAATTAACTACTTTGAAGAGTACATAGCTATTGCAAACAATTAAAAAAAGATGAAGAGAAGAAGAAAAATTTATATTTTACTTTCATTACAAAACAATTAAGCTAATTTCATTTATGGACTACTTTAATTAGGTAATGTTACAGTCAAATGTTAGTTAACTTGTGCCCTTTTCGTAAACTGGGATTCAAATAGGCTACAATTAATAGTAAACATTGCCGTTAATAAATATTTAATATAGAAACTAGTTATTATTATTATTACAAAATTGTTGTCAGAATTTTTGGTTGTCGCTAACGAATCCTTTATTTTCTTGTATAAAACATTTTTTTTTTGAAAAATTAAAAAATTACCTTTATATCGATATATGTAAAAATTTATGGTTGATATGATGATATGCTTTTAATAAATTCATGTCCTGTAACATTCTCTAACAACTGATTCAGTTATGGACATGATTGAAGGTCTAAGCCCCTTAAAAACTTTTTCTATTTACATAATTATAATTTAATTTAATTTTACATAATTACAAATTCCAAAAATGTTGCTTTTTGATTGAAGATTACGATCAATATTAAAATATTTCAATGCACTAATGGGCACATGGATGTGAACAATATACAGACTGGAATGTTCATAGTTGGAATTCGGGACGTCCTTTTGACACCGTTTTTTATACTTAGGTAAGTACTCCTTGTTCATTGGATACAAATTCAAATGAAAATCGGGTCATAATAATAATATCTAATAATATAAAGAAAAAATAAATACAAAATATCTGATTAACACAAATGTGCATATCCATACGAGCTGTTAACAGTGCAATATTGCATTTTCTCTCGATGTTACTTAAACTTTAACAACAAAACACGATAAACGCTCTATTTATAGGAATAATTTATGAACACTTACTATGACTTCATACAAAAAGATGTTCATAAGAATTCGCATCCAACATAACTGTTGCCTTATGGATATTTCATGTACAAATAAATGTTAAAATATTGTATTAGAAAACCACCACTGAACATGTTTTAATACATCTAAGCTAGCATGGCATTTTTATAAGCGGCAGTATGAGAACCTGATAATATATTTTTCAATTTTCAAGGAAAAAATCAAAGAAACAATGTCAAATGTAATATAACGTTATATGAATATCTATCAAATTTGAAGAATACCATAAACACTTACCTATTCACATTAGAAACGTTAAAATCTTGGATCACACGGTAATGATCTTAGCTTTGTCATTTCTCCTAATCTTACAAGAGAAGGAATCCGTTGCCGACGCCGTATCATGTTGCTCTAACCAATCATACTCATTGATCCTTTCAAAGATATTGATTAATAATCATTACTGTTATTCTACATAGAATGTGCAAATTTATTTCACGATTTTTTATTTATTTTTTTGTATATACCTACATAATTTTAATAAAAAAAGTTTAGAACAGTAGCATAGAAACATGTACCTACCTATGTATTTTTATCGAACATTCTTTTGTACAAAAACTACTTCATGTAAGACTTGAGGACGATAATGTGTAGTATCAAAATCAAAATAATATACTATACCTCGGAAAAACACAACTACACAAACATATATGCACTGTACTAATCGGTGGCGGCTTGTCGTATGAAGCAACTGATACCGGGCCTCACTGTAAAATTTGGCTCTCACACCGTATATTTTAATACCTACTATTCTGCTATTAAAATAGTTTACTAATACTAATTTTCAATTATTATCTATTATCTATTACATTATTATCTAGTAGGTACATCTGCGTATATACTGTTACTACTCTCCACCACAGTGAGGCCGCAATTTCTGACTTATAAGCACGTCACACTTGCCTATAAATATGCTGTAGTTCCCCCTCCATGCGAGACGGTTAAAATAACGTGTTTACCCGGGAAACTTGAGACCCATTTCGTTCGGCTTACAGTGTGTAACGTGTGGGTGTGAGCGATGATAGTACAAAGGCTCTAAGGACAAGGACAAATCTGTTATTAATTTAAAGTAAATAAAAAGTAACTTCCTTACAATGAAGCAGAAAAACGACAACTTTTGAATAGGCAGCCAACGCAAAAAAACGGCAATTTTTAACGAAAAATGAAGAGGTCGGGAAAGTTCGCGAAAATATTCTTGGTATGACAATTATCAATGACTATGTAGAACGAAGAAAAATTTTAAAATATTTTTAAATTATGCGAAAAATATTACTGGCTTGCCAAGTAAATCGGAAAAGTTGCGATGAATTAGAAATATTAGCTATAAATTCCTGCACCACTCAATTAAGTATTCGTTTTGGGAATTTATGTTTTAAATTTTTTGCTTTAGTAGATTCCTGAAAATTTCNCCGAAAGTAGCCGTCGACAAGCAACTATGTTCTATACAGTTCCAAATGAGGATGGAGAACACCTTAGGATCTGCCGTCAAACATTTAGCCAGATATTTGCATTATCTCACAAACAAGTACAGGTCCTTGTTGAGAAGAAAAAATGGGGATCCATTAACTACAATGACAAAAGAGGGAAACATACCAAAGAAAGAAAATACAACGAGCAAATACACAATCAGATCGGTGCTCATATAAAATCATTTCCGGTAGAAGAAAATGATGATATGTTTGATGAAATAGAGCAAAAGTTTTTAATCAGTGGACATTCCTATATGTCATGCGACAGAGACTTCGCATTGATTAAAAAAAGATAAAGAGTCGTAAAGTGTTTTACCCCCCAGTGTATTAAAGAAATGATAGAAAAAACAAGACACATCATACCATTCCGCACAGTGAACATGGAATCTACAAACTTTAAAAACATACAGGCGGCGGCTGATGTTTATCTTAACACTACAAAACTTAATATATCTCAAGCATCTATTTTAAAAATAACTAAAGATAAGCCCACCATTATAAAAATTAAAAAACCCTTCAGTGATGTTGAAGAGTGGCAGAAAGTTAACATTTTAAAAAAAGGAAAATCCATTGAGCAACTAGCCAGTTTAAAACTTTCCGATCAAATATCAAAACCACGAATTACCAAAGAGAAGCTTAAAAACCTGCAAGATATGATTCCGTATATACCAAGTCAGTATCAACCATTCTATAAAAAAATAATAGAGAACCAGCAGCAGGAATCCCAACCTGCTACTAATAGTGGCACTTAGACCTTAGGTTTTATGTTTATGGACTTAGACCTTTTTACAAAAGTTATGTTTTATTCATGTCTAAAAAATCATAGTTTTGTTGTCTTCACACTTTAAATAGTCCATAAGCGTTCTTGTACTGTGTTATTTCAAATAAAAATTAATCAACAATATGTATTTAATAGTTTCTGTAAAAATCATTATTTTGTTTCAAACTTTTATTTATGTTTTTGGTACTTAGACCCTTTTGAAGTTAAGGTCTTCAATTATCAATGAGTATGTAGAACGAAGAAAATTTTTAAAATATTTTTAAATTATGCGAAAAATATTACTGGCTTGCCAAGTAAATCGGAAAAGTTGCGATGAATTAGAAATATGACAATTATCAATGACTATGTAGAACGAAGAAAAATTTTAAAATATTTTTAAATTGTGCGAAAAATATTACTGGCTTGCCAAGTAAATCGGAAAAGTTGCGATGAATTAGAAATATTAGCTATAAATTCCTGCACCACTCAATTAAGTATTCGTTTTGGGAATTTATGTTTTAAATTTTTTGCTTTAGTAGATTCCTGAAAATTTCCCGAATATGCAAACAAATTTCACGAAAAATTGTTTGAATGTTTATTACAAATGTATCCAAACTTTTTTTAAATAAAAAGGTTGAAAAACGAACTTAATACTTTGTACCAAGACGAAAAATTTCGTCATTAGAAGTTCAAAAAATGATAGAAATATTGTAGGACGAAGTTAAAATAGTATTTTTGGAAACATACAAACAGTTTTGTCTAGTTTTAACAATTCCAGCAACAAGTGTAATCGGTAGATAGAAACATTTCGTGTCTTAAGCGCATTAAGACTTACTTAAGTAATACGATGACACAAGAGCGCATTATTATTAGTAAATTTGCTAATTTAAAAGACCGACGCATTGACCTGTTTTATAAAACGGAATGTTTTTAAAATATTTTATTAAAAGTGGAGGCAAACGAAAAGCTGGCTGCGTTACTTTATAGACAAGTTGGCTGACTACCTTGTGAAAATTCGTTATTTAATATTCTTCAACCAAGGAGGAACAATTTTTTTTAATTAATAGGTAAATATATCATTTTGCTTTTTTTCTTCTATTAATTTGATTGTAAATAACATTTTTAAAGTTCTGATTTTATTTAATTTTTTAATTTATGGTTACTTGAGACCAAATAGTTGCGTAAATATTTCTGTTTTTTATAAAATCTGAATGAAAATACTTCTTGTGAATTTCGATAATATTGTAAATGCAAATAAAAATTTCTAGATTCATTTGACCTTGAAAA